AAACTTTTATACTTATATTTTCCAAGTTATTCAGAAGTATCGACCTTTTTCCCTATTCTATGTATTCAATATATCCTACCAGAAAAAGCGTTTGTAAATAATCACAATTGATTCTCTCAATATTGATTGTTGTCACTTTTATCTCGACGCTGACTGGACGTTTTTTGGATGTGTTTCTTGTGATTCATGTCGTACAAATATACAATATACTATACTCGATTCAATGAGAAAATAGGATACTACTTGCGCATAGGAGAGAAAAAGCGGTCAAAGTGGGGATACCGCCCCTACTCAGTACCGTAAACATAGATACAGCACGTTCAGACGTGAAGTTAGATTTTAGTGGATGGAATAAGTTTTCATTTTAATGTACTATCAAGTTTTTTTATGTCTTATTCACACTAGTGGACACTGTTACACGGTTCTTGCTGGAAAACATCCATTATATATGACTTTATCACTCTACCCACACAGCACACTTTATCTTGCGAATATCCCAAAATGATCCGGATTTTCAAGTGCAATTCCAGAGATATACGTTTTATTTCAATAAATAATTTCCGGGATATTACAATAAGATATCGTGAGATATTTTATGCAAAGCCAAGGAATGTCTTTTGCACATTATGATATTTATTCCAAACATATCTCATAGATATCTACTGCCCACACAGACATCCATCCATCCAGACATCCATTAGACATCTATTAGATGTCGCATGGAGCTGTCGGCGTCTAATAAATGTCTAATGGAGTTTTTGTTCTGTGTGGGTGGGTACTTCAAAATGTCCAAATAATATTTGGTGGATATCTTTTACACATCTGTGCTGTCGGATATCTGCACACAACATATTTTATCTTGAGAATATTGTAAACTATTTCAGAGTGTAAATGCAATCTCAATATAAATTCATATATGTGTATGTACAATACTTTAGTTATATTATTATTATAATTTTTAATAAATTTTCAATATTTTTATACTTAAAAAACAAGCGTATATATAAAAACGTCTAAAAATTATTCAAACATCTGAAAAATCAGAATGTCTTTATACATTTATCTTCAAAATGTATTATATCAACAAAAAACATTTTGTGTGTATATAACATTTTTACTATATAATTATTTACTATATAACTATTATTATATATAATAAAAGTGATACATATAAATGTATATACATATTTTTATATATCATACACATTTGGTATATATTTATTAAGAATTGACTATAATAATTAGTATATGTTAATAAAAATTTATTCACGTTGTAATATATAATATATTTTAAATTATATTTAATAATAATAATAATAATAATAATAATAATAATATTTTTATCCATTGTTATAAGTACATTGTACTGCAATAGTTTTAATAAACTAACAACTTAAATACATTTTTAACATAATAAATGAAATGTGTAGAATAGCTTGATAATGAGTAGATAAAAAAGTTACATTTCAGTAAGGAACAAGTAGTCTCGCGGACTGAGTGCAGGGGCTACCCTTACGAAAAAGAACTACTGCCGATTACATATAAATAAAGTCAGTAATATAAATATTACTGACAATCACATAAGAATATTATTAGATATTACAGGAATCACTGAGAATATTACTGGCAATTACACAGAATGCCAGTCATTTTTTCGTACCACTGCCGCAATATATTACTGCTGGTAGTTCTTTTTCGTAAGGGTTATGTGGGATTATATCGTACGATATTTCTTGAGTTCCCTCGGGTATTCTTTGGACATCATCTGTTATCCGTAAGATATTATTAAAGCGGACTTTAGTACATCTTATGGACATCTCAGATATCTGAGACCATTTTGGGATGTCTTATGGATATTGCGATATCTCACAATAATGTCTGTAGGATATCCCTACGATAAAGTGTGCTGTGTGGAATGTTACTCCCATGTTATGTAGCAGTTATATTTTGTGTTTGCTGGATATTATTAAACATACATATATAACATCTGTCAATCTGTGCGATGACACGCGGTTGTTTTTTCGTTTGTAGTTTTTTCTCTGCGTTTGCACAAATGCGTGATATTGCTTTGATACGGATTGACGATGTATGTATGTTAGGCACCCGCTGAACTGTACGAGCGGTACAGCACTGTGGAGTGGAGGAGCTTTCTGGTAAGAGAGATGCGCGGAACGGACGCGTGTTCATCCATAGGCAGCGTTGCCGTGGAACTTGTCGCTACGAGTCGTACCTCTCTATCTCTCTACTGCGTGACGTCACGTGTGGCAAGTTCCACGGCAACGCTGTCTATATAATATCCTGTTCTCTCGTTGAACCGCGTATAGCTGTTATTGCGGTGACAGGTTGTGTCCACTAACAGAACACGGTAAAATAAAAATAATAATAGCGTGCGCGTAGCGCACGCCTGTGTTGTATTAGTATATTAAATAATAAAATATGTAAAGTATGATATGTTATATACTTATTTAGTTTTTTTTAATTTAATAAAATTACTTTTTGTTTTATAATAAAGATATAGCATATATAAAATATGTTTATAAAACTATTTTTATTTATTTATGTTAATTTTGTAAATGTATATTTTGGTAATTTAGCACATTTTTATGTAATTTATTCTGTTTCTTTCTTTCTTCATTTTGCATTATCGTTATCTAAATGTTATGTTTCACTTTTCTGCCACTTAGGCGACAGAGGCGCTGTTAATTTTTATTAGAGCATAAAAATACGATTAGCGGTTCATGGTTTTAAAAATAAATAAGTCTGCAATATCTGCATTGACCGTTTGTAACTTATATAGACCGTGTTTTTGTGAAAGGATCTTTTCATGTAATGCTCATTTTGGCGTCAAAAGAAATTACATGATGACAATTGACGTTGGGTGATAACACACGAAAAGATAGCTTCAAGTCTGTAACATCAGTAGTTAATTTTATTGATACGTAACTATTTCTACTGCATATTACTTATTGTAGTCACTGAACTCTATATACACTGGAATGCGCATCAAGAAAAATTCATGGCACAAATTGAATAGCGCCATGTTTGTTTGGCCTGGTATTTTAGCAAATCAGAAGCGTGTTCTGTGTTCCGCTACAATATAAATGACGGAGATGAAAAAGTACCAAAATAGAAAAAGTTTATTCAGAAGTTTGTAGTAATAACATTACATAAAATTATAAATATTTATTTATAATATTTTAATTATAAATTTGTATAAAAGAGCTTCTGCTCGTTAATACAATATAAAAATAAATTTGCGTATTAATGCAATTTAAAAACTTATTTTTTTAATGGTAAAAAAGCACGAAGTACACGCGCGCTAATTGCAAAATATCATTATATCTTATGTTGCAAAATAACCTAACGATTTTTTTATTCTACATTGTTAACACATGCAGAAACTGATATATTTAACACCAAAATCCTTACCTATGAAATGAAATCCCTTTTTTACTTTTCTGCTCACATTCGGACACGCAACATCTCATGTCACTAATATTACAGATGTTTTTCACATATACTTATACAACCGTAACACGTTTCTACGCGTGCTAGGAGAATGCTTCTGATTCATTGTAGCGGGACGCAGAACGCACTTTTGATTTGCTAAAATACCAGGCCAAACAAAAATGGCGCTGATCAATTTGTGCCACGTCTCGCTATGCTTGTTAGGCGAAGATGCGCATTCCAGTGTATATAGAGTTCAGTGATTGTAGTAAATATTTACATCATTGTGTCACACACACATTATATTAACAGTTTAATAATTTATACTCACATTAGTTTAATATACTTTACTCTTCATGTTCCATGTTTCTACTTGATTTTCCTGTTAAAATTGTATGAATTTAGCGTGCTTACAGCTCATCACGTTGCGTGACGCTAGATGTTAAACATATCCGACTTCTTGTCCTTGACGCTAGCGTCACATTTAAACCACATTCAACGCTGTAGTGAGCGCCACATGAATTAGCAACTTAAAGCAGAACTGTTTCTGAGGCACAATCGCTGGCTGTGGCAGTGAGTGAGTAACGCGCTCCCCACTACCAAATACCGAGCGGCACCGGATGCGTACTGTTGCTAGGGCGATTAAGATGTCTGGGCGGGGAATAGGAGTCGTTATCTAGAGTTGTAGCCTTCCAACTCGCGCGTGCGGTTTGCGCTATAAGATCTCTATGCAGTCACGTGATCAGTTGGGAAACTGATCTAAAGTAGTAGTATCAGTCTCACGTCGAGGCTGATACTTTGGTTAGATTAGTTAGGTTAGGTTAGGTTAGGTTCTTGAACTAAGTATTGGACTAATAGATCGATCTCAACATAACAATAGCTCGATAACGATATAAATACAACTTATCGTAGAACTGGTCAAACAAATCTAAATTGGCCGACGACTAGTTACTAACAGCACATGGAAGTTAAGAAACATTTCTTCTGATCTGAGAAAAGCCCACTCTTATAGCGAACCAAAATTCTCCCACCTCATTACTTGATCACGCTTGCGCAGAACCTAATTACATAACCTAATTACATAACCTTACATACACATATCATGACTTTTGTCAGAAAGTAGGAAAATAAGAGGAATCTGAAATAGTGAAAAAAATTTGTCCCGATAACTTAAAGTTAAGGAAAACTCTATTGTTTATATTACATTTCTCGCGTATCTTGTTTCCATATATGTAATACTCCTATATTGCTAGTCGCGTATCTTCGCAATGAGAGGCACGAGGCCCGAGAAAGGGAGACGCACGAAGTCCAAATATGGGCATAGATGGTCGAGCGTCATTATGTTCACCGCATGCGCACAAAGCAGCTGGAGAGAGAGGCTACTATATTGTCTGCACCGTAACGGTGAGCTTCAGGTCGGCACCGTACTAGCAATATAGGAGTATTACATATATGCTTGTTTCAATCGATTACCACTGTCGGTAAGGCCGGCAAGGAAAGTTGGTCAGCCACTGTAGACAACCGAGTGGCGACGACGTGGCACACATGGAAGGGGAATCTCCCTCCTAACCCCCACATCAAGAGAGTACGAATCGTTTAGACTTCAGACGCATGGTGTATAGGTGGCTACGTAGATAGTTGTAGTATTAACTGCTCACTGCGCATGTGATATTATCGTCGCCATTTTGTGCAACCTACCGTTTGCTCTGCAAATCTAACGTACAACGTTTATTGCTTCCTATGTGCCACAGTGTGCTGCGATTATCCTGTAATCGGTATTGCGTTATGATTGTGTTGACGTGTATTTTATCAAGCTATATATGAATTCTATACCCTGTGATTAATTCACATTCCATGTATCGCAGTATCATTACTGGATTTTGATATGCAGTGCTGACTTCAACAATTCCGTTGTTCTGTGAACATCAAGGTAGAATATAATGTCGGTTGCATCAGCCGTACCGGTTGAATGTGCGTAGTTACGCTTAGATATTTTTGGACAATTTACGGTGTTTTTACACCGACTTCTTCAGTTTATCAGTGTTTTAACGAACATACAACTCCGTGGCTTGTACCCAAACCACGGTTTAGGACTTGTGTTACGATTCCTATAGACTTAGAATGGCGTATGGACTATCTTGAAACGGTCCTTTGAGCCATATATGCACCAAACCAAACCAGAATATAATGTCATTTATTTTTTTATATGATTTATAGGTCTTATATTTATAGACTTTGCTTGTGTTTTATATATTAAAAAACAGAGTTTTATATTGTTATCTATAATTTGTCAAATTTAATACTTTACAATAAGTTTATAATTTAACAAATAGTTCTTCACACAAATGCGATTATTACTCTTGCTAAAACAATATCAAGGATATGATTTTAATTTTTCAGAAAAAGAAACTGGATTGCAAGCAGTATATAATATGGCCAGAGTAGCAACATATCAACGAAATGTGAATGTTGTACTTACTGATATATTTACAGGACCAACAGTAAGTACTTTTACTCTTATATGTATACACAAAAGTTATACACATTTATTTGTAATCTTTTAGTTCTAGATGTTTTCTTTTCTATTTATTTAATTTTTTTGGAAATTGTGATGATTTACACGTTAATAATAGTAGTAAAGTACAAAAATATATACATTTTACAATTTATATTCTTCTATTGTATAGTTTTATACTACAGATATATTTTTATGTAAATTTAAACAATAATAATTTTGATTTATGTGTATAAATTAATTTAGTGTACAAATGATACAAATTTTTCTAATATTAAACCATCAACAAAAAGTAATATGGCAATTAAGAGCCAAGTTATAATTTATGTTGATTGTAATAACTTTACTAATAATATTGCAAAACAAATCCATGTTGTATTATCCATATTATACATATTGCAATGTTTTTTATTTTCTTTCTTATATTTCTTGCAAGAAAAGTTTATTTGGAAGGAATTTTATATAAAAGAATTATAGGTATAGATGTTTTAAATATATGAAGTGGTATCTATCTTAAAAAAGTGACGTATAAAATGTGAGATCAATGTTTATAATGAAATTATTTTAGTATATAGATTAGAGTTATGTAACTGTGTTGAATATAAGTCAGGAAAAAGTCGTCATGTGTTCAGTACACATGCAATACTGGCTATGTTTAGAAAAATATAAATTATAGTAAATGTATGTATTTTTAAAGTAGTACATCCTGTAAATTGCATGTGTTTTTATATATACTTCTTTCTTATACAATTGAATCAATCAAAAGTCAATTTACTGGTGTTCTATATAGCAAATATTATATAGTCCATGTTTGTAAAGCAGTTGATGTAGTCGGTATAGTAGGTAACGGTGAGAACTTTAACATGCAGGTTTCTACTTTATCATCTCAATATATTCTGAGTGTCGCTCGGATAGCAGATTGAGTTTTCCCACTATTGCACCTTTCTTACTGATGTGTAGAGCGGCATGGCGCAATAACCTCGTTATTTCACAAAGTCCGTACTGATTGCTACATGTGAAATAGGGATTTAAAATTTATTTTATTCATATTTTGAACTCTTTCTATTTTTTTTTAACATATATATAGCAGTAAATTATTTTATAATTGCTCTTAAAAAATTGTTAAAAATAAATTATGTAAAATTACTTTTTTGCTAAATGTAGACATTCAAAAGGAGATGAAATTTTGCAAAATTTTTCTAATATTTTAAAGTCAAAATTTTTCTAATATTTTAAAGTCATCATATTTTAAACTCAGTCTCCCAGACTCACTCAAAAATAGCACATCGATATTTCTAAAAAAGTCGGTTTTTTTTAAACGTATCTTCGAAATCAGAGATTTTTTGAAGTTTTTTTTTATCAACGTAGAATTGTTCAAACTTTCAATAAAAAAAAAAAGAGAAATTGAAAAAAATATTGATTTTTCGCGAAGATATTCGATCTTAAAGTCATGTGGGCCTCAGACTCAGTCTACAGTACTCGTAGGTTTTTTTTTATGTCTATAGGCAAAGAGTTAAAGACAAAGAGTTACTTTTAAAAAATCATTCAGAAGTAGTTAAACATAAAAATCACGAAAACTTACCTACGAAAAAGATTAGGAACGTACAAAGAGCGATTGATAAATATTCGAAACGATAAAGTTAACAATTTATCGGATTGCAACATGTGTATTTTTTAATATAGTTCTTTTTTTAAAAATATAGTTGCTTTCTACTAGTTCTCGATATTTTGATTAGCGCTTTCCGAGAACACTTATATCAGTTTGGAATGATTTTTGGAGCTCTTCAAAATAGCCACTTATGACATCAACGACTTCATTGTTGCTCGGGAATTTCTCTCCATTCATTTTTTAAATCATTTTTTATATAGTAAAAAATAAATACAAATTACATAAGACTGAATTTGATTAAGACAAATAGCAATTTGAGGCCCAATTTATAAAATTTGATCATTACAACAGTTGAACTGAACAGCTTATGTATTAAAAATTAAGAGTATTTACTTTAGCTATTACACAAAATATTTTTATGTGCAATAATAAGCCAGCGTTTAACTTTTTTTCCCCTAAAGAATTAAACTTGTTATTAAGAACAGCAATGTGATATTACGCGTTGTTTCGGGTAATTATCAATCGTCTCTCGTATATGCTTTAGAAATAAGTATATGAAAAGATCTGTACGTGATCGCAATATACGCAAGATTTCTCATATCTTGCATATATTCTAAAGATAAAACAACAGCATTCGACTGTACAACAAAGTTTCCCACAACTTAAACTCTTACATCTTAAGTTATTTTCACATTTTAAGGTGTTTTGTTTTTTAACAACTGAAGTTTTCTCTCTCATACTGCTACCCTACTATCGCAAATAGATCACACATGCGCAGAAAGAACATAACCTGACCTGACAGTAATAAGGCTGAAGCACAGACTTTTGCATAACGCATAAGCATAAGAAAATCAACCAATCAAAGCCTTCTAGAACGAAAAGGGATAAAAATGGAAGGCTGGATTGGTTGATTTTCTTATGTCTTATGCGTTATGCGTTATGCAAAAGTCTGTGCTTTGGCCTTTATTTTTTTCATGGATCTGAAGGACGGCGTATGAAGTGCAGTTTAGAAAAAGAGGGGTATAATCTGAAAGATAGGAGATAAGGCCATTACTCATAAAATTACAAAATGTACATGGTGTCGGAAAATAAGAGTTTATCGACGCAACTTCTTTTATTTATAACTTTTTAACAAACAACAAGCGACGGCTAAAACCTTTTGATTGCTGTTCAGAAATGGTTATGTCTTCGATTTGAATCCAAAGGAGCTCGTACTTCTGAAATAGTTTTTATTTGATTCGGACATGATAAGGGGCTACACTAGGTTTAAAGGAATGAAGACTTCTACTGCGCACACACACATAAAGAACGAAAAGCGGATAAAGTGCGAATAGCGGTGCGTGCTGGATTGGGGATACTCGTTGACAGCCAATAATTGTGAAGTTGACAGTAGTGTAATAAGGACAGAACAGAGAGAGAGAAAGAGAGATCCGCCTCAGACGTCGTATTAATAGTGGTGCAATGAAGCAATATCGAAACGCTATTTTTATTGCTTGAAGCTCGAGCGTTGGTTATTTTTTATTTTTTTATTGGGAGTACAAATTAGTTCGGTCCGTTTTTTTGTGTTCAAAAATACATTTATTTCAAAACAAAATGAATGAACAGATTAATTAAAGTATTGTCCATCGCTGGCTACTACTTTTTCCCATCTCTCAGGCAATTTTCAAATTCCATCTCGAAAAAATGACTCGTCTTTAGAGGCGATCCAAGTTTGGAGCCAATTTTCGATTCCTGCGAAAGAAGTGAACCGGTGACCTGCCAAATCGTGCTGCATCCTTCGGAACAACCAGTAATCAGAAGGAGTAATGTCCGGAGAATACGGCAGGTGCGGTAAAACATCCCACTTGAACGTTTCCAAATATTTTTTTACGACTTTTGCGACGTGAGATCGAGCGTTGTCATGAAGAAGAATAACCTTATCATGTCTTTACTCGTATTCCGGCCGTTTTTTCTAGCAATGCACGGCTCAAACGAATCAATTGTAGCCGATACAGATCGCCTGTAATGGAATTGCCAGGTTTCAGCAGCTTATAGTAAACAACACCTTTTGCTCCCACCAGATACAGAGCATGATCTTCGAACCTTGAATGTTCGACTTTGGTGTTGATGTTGAGGTTTATGGCAACGATTGACCGGGGCTTAGCGTAGTATTTTTTTTCTTGGGGGTCTGTCGTAGAATATCCACTTCTCGTCTCCAGTCACAATCCGATACAAAGAACCTTTCCTTTATTGCCTTTGAATCAGCAACTCGCAAGTAAAAAATCGCCTTTCAACGTCTCTCGGTTTCAGTTCATAAGGCACCCAATTTCTTTGGTTTTTAATCATTCCCATGTTTCTCAATCGTACAGGAAAGGCTTGTTGAGTTACTCCCAATGATTCTGCAAGCTCCTCTTGCGTTTGATTCTGATCTTCTTCGAGTAATGTCTCCAAGTCTTTGTCTTTGAATTTTTTTGGCTGTCCAGAGCGAGGCTTGTCTTCAACGCTGAAATCTTTTTTCTCCACCCTTGAAACGTCGAAACCATTCCCTACATGATTTATCAGTTGGAGCAGTCACCATAAACTACGACAAGCATTCGATGGGCTTCAGTTTTCTTCCAATTAAAGCAAAAAATTAAAACCTCCCGCAAATGCTGCTTGGTTAACACAAAATTCGACATTTCAAACACAGTAAAAATCAAGATTTTTGTATGAAATTCAAAGCGATATAAACTGATTATTAGCAGATGTCTAACCTCTCTGAAACCGCTAAAATCAGTTGTCACTACGAACCATTCACAACAGGCGGGGCCATCTTTTGGAAACGGACCGAACTAATTTGTACTTCCAATAATAAAAAATAATAGTTAAATAATTTTTTTATAACGAAATAAAGTGTAAAATGAAGATGGTGACCACTTGAAACAATCATTGTTAAGTTCTTAAGTGGTTATTACTACAGTAACCTAATCTAACCTAACCTAATCCTAACCTAACCTAACCTTTTTTAATTTTTTTCCTCGAGCAGAAATGCTTACGCACCCCTTGCTTTCAAGAAGAATGAGGGCAGGGGAGTGTGAGACTTGCACCCACTAAAATTTCTTGGTGGTTTACCATATCTTTGAACGGAAGTGATCCAGCGTACATCCGAGGCATGTTTTGTCTAACCTAACCTAACCTAACCTAACCCTAGCCTAGTCTAGTCTAGTTTAGTCTAGGAGAAACCTAGCCTAGCCTAGCCTAGCCATAGCCTAGGAGAAACTGACGACGGAATGGTAGTGTGTCCCACTTTGTCGTCAAGTTTGCATCTTATGAGGAAAAAGGAGTAATCCTTTCAGCAAAACGTCCTTACGGGAGGGGTGACCCCGGTATTGTCCTACCTTGGGATTCCGAGACCTTCCCGTCACTTTCGTCGAGCAGGCGCACCGTGGAATTGTAGTGGGTATACCTTTCACTCTGGAAGAAAGTCCCACATAACCCTGTTCGACGAAAGTGGCGGGAAGGTCTCGGAACTCCAAGGTAGGACAATACCGGGGTCTCCCCTCCCGTAAGAACGTTTTGCTGGAAGGTTTACTCCTTTTTCCTCATAAGATGCAAACTTGACGACAAAGTGGGACACACTACCATTCCGTCGTCAGTTTCTCCTAGGCTATGGCTAGGTTTCTCCTAGACTAGACTAGACTAGGGTTAGGGTTAGGTTAGGTTAGGTTAGGTTGGACAAAACATGCCTCGGATGTATATTAGGACAATACCGGGGTCACCCCTCCCGTAAGAACGTTTTGCTGGAAGGATTACTCTTTTTTCTTCATAAGATGCAAACTTAGGAACAGAGTAATACACACTACCATTGTGGGACACACTACCATTCCGTCGCTACTTCTTGTGGGGCTTTGTGGATGGCGGAGCCAAGTTCTCATTTGATTTCGCCTTGAGTCTCGTGTTTATAGACGAGGTCACTAGCGCTCACGACAGGGGAGTCGCTCCTATGACCTCAATTTATCTTTCCCACTTGTTTCAACAGAGTTCGGAAAGGAGAACTTTCTTGCGCGGCCCTCCTTTGGACTCACTGTCATACCGGAGGTATCGGGAGGGAGCGACGGTGCTCGCGGGTGGCCGCGAGATTAACGCCCGCACCTGGCTCCTCTGCTTCACTCGCCCGGTTTCACGTTCCCGGTCCCGTTCCGCGGTCTCCTTCTGCTCCATTATGGACTCACAGGAGGTTACGGGACGTCACTTGTTCTCTTCTCTAGAGACCAGGGCTCACAGAATGACTCCCAGGATGACTCCCAGGGCGAAGTCTTCTCCGATTTCGGCGACCAAGGCCGAAGCTGTTCAGCTCACTTTGGAAACTTAACCCTAATCCTAACCTAACCTAACCTAACCTATTTTTTACGTGGTGGAAATCCATTACGGATACCCTGGTTCTCGGGAGAGAGGGTCAAGGTTATGTGGAACTCTCCCCTCTTTCCCGCAAGGAGGGGTATGCCCACTAAAACCACTACGGTGTGTCTACCTTGCTTATTATAGGGAGGGACTCGGTACTCCCTATGCAGGACTCTGCCGGGACCCCCCAGAACCTAATCTAACCTAACCCTAACCTAATCTATCCTATTCTACTTTATCCTATCCTATCCTATCCTATCTTAATCTAATAAGAAAGGCACGGGGAGAAAAGAAACTGTTTCGAGCACTGTCTTTTCTATACTACTGGAAGTGAGAGATCTTTCTAGTAGGAAAGATGCGCGAAACGGACGAGTCCGATTCTATCCAGTTTCTCTTCTTTCTTTGAATCCAGTGTAGATTCAGCGGGGTAGTTAGGGAATATAAGAAAAATTTAAGTTGTGTAAGATAAATAATAAACCAATAATAGGTCCCGATTATTTAAGTTGTGAGGAATTTTGTTATATGTCGTCAGATGTTGCTAATTTTATGCCGAGTCTAGCCCGTTAATCCAGTGGTCTCGAACAAAAAAATTAATTGATCAATAAGTCAATTTTTACATATGTTGACTCAGCATGTCGAATAGCAGAGTTTCCTGTAATTTAAGTCGTTAAAACCAAGTTTCTTTCACCATTTCTTCTTTATTTGCTTTTTGACAAAAGCTGCGCTTATCATAAGGTTAAGGTTATTTTTATACTGCATAAAGTTTTTTGCGCATGTGTGATTAGCGCGAGTGTACGGTAGTGGGGTGGCAGCACGAGAGGAGAATTTAACTTATCTAAATGCTGTTTATATTCAAAAGAACAAGTTGAGTCAAAGAAGAAATGTAAATCTCGTGATATCCAATAGTTCAAGCATGCTAATCTTGAAATACGTACAGTGTATGCAGCTGAATTGTGTCAAGTAGAGCTAAAGGAAGATCTTTTTTTTTTTATTAAGTATAGGAAAAAAGGGAGTTAAGATCTTTGACTCCAATCATTAGCTGCTGGACTGAAAACGATAAAAGAAAATGGAGCATAGAAGACAACCGCTATTCCTCTCGCGTGATGCAATTCAGCTGCACGTACTATAAAGATACAAGTTGAATGTAGGAACTTAAACTAAAGATTTAACATGTATTATATATTTTTTTTTCAGAATAATATAGAGAATCAAAATGGTATCAAGATTAAGGAAGAACCTGTCGATACAACAGTAAACACTTTCACGACCGAAGATTGTACATTAGAAAACAATAATGATTTAATAGAGCAAAACAAATCTTTACAAACGGGCGATTCATATGAAGTTATAAATAACAAAGAAACTGAACACTTATCTGATAGCAATTTTGTATATTTAAATAATAAAAAAGAATGTCGTAATTTAAAGCGTAAACGTACAAAAGATGCAGAGAAACAGACATATAATACTTTATCCCCGTCTACAAAACGACGTAAATGTTCGAATAAAGTTTCTAAAGATACTACTTCATCTTGCACTACATTAATCGAGAATTTTAAGAAAATGAGAAAAAAACGAACTAAAATCGGAATGAATATGAAAGTCAAAATACATCGTAAAACTAAACCAGAGAACAAAGGTTCTGTACAATGTGATGTATGTTTTAGAGACTTCGATAATCAGATGAATTTAGAATTTCATGTAAAGTATTATAAAGGAGTTTTTATATGCAAAAATTGTAACTCGTATTATGAAACACAAAGTAAATTAGTCATACATAGTAAGACCTGTAATCTTAACCCAACTTGCAATATGCAGCGATGGAACCTATTATGTAACTTTTGCAATCGTAAATTTAAAGTGAAATATGGGTTACAGTCTCATTTGTTTCATTCACATGGAGAATTAATATATTCAGATAATACAGATATTTGCAAACCTGCATCCGAAAATCTTGTAAATACATATTGCCAAAATGATACCTTGAAGATTAACGCACATGAAGAATCATCATCGACTAATCTTGTTGAATCCAAAAACCTAAATAAATCTTTCAAAAATGACACAATGAAAACTACAAACTCAAACAGTGAAGAATCGTTATCTACTGCTGAAATGTTGAGTTCGAAAAAATTGCGACAACCAACACTAATGGAATACTTGGAGCTCTACAAAAGAAACTACAATACTAAAAATTACCAACGTGATTTGGATGACACAAAGAATGACTTATCTATGAGTGCTACCAATACAAAAGATGATAACTCTCTGTCTACAAAATCAAATCTTAAAAAACCAACAACAAATTTTACTCTAAAACAAGATACAAATCGTGAACCAGGTGTTGAACAGCCTCTTGTAACACTACACGCAAATGTTGAAACGATGATATCTTGTTTCAAAAAAGATCCTAATGTGATTGCCAAAAAAGAAATTATTAGTAATCATGTAGATGACACAATCTTATATGATCGAAATGAAATACCCTATAGCTTAAGATCTTTTCAGAGTAGTTCTAGCACGAGATCGAATTCAAAAAAAACGAGAACTAGAAATTCATCTAAAAAATGGAAAACTATTATGACTCGTTTTAAGTGTAAGAATTGTACAGTGCTTTTGACACGATGTGACAAAAAACCGAATAATGATGATCAGATTCCTATAGTGGAAACCACTAAAGAAGATGTTTCTCTGAACACCCAAAGCAACTCGTGTTTATTTCAAGAAACTGATATACAAGCAGAAGTAGTGTTTAAAACATTAGAAGTTTCTCTTGAACGCATAAAACCTGTTCCAGCTCTAGATCTAAAAGCGAGGACAGTGTCAGATGTGGAATATCTCGATGACAAATGTTATACATGCAGTGTTTGTAAGAAGAGTTTTTCTTCAAAAGAGAATAAACATATGCATATTAAATCTTGTCACATAGCGTACATGTCAAGTATATGCAATGCTCGATACACATCGAAACATAGCTTACTTCAACATTATTTATGCGAACATTTACTTGAACAAACTCAATGTTGCGTTTGCTATACGTCATTTTCCGATTATGAAGCTTTGAAGGAACACTTAAATATACACTGTCTGAAGTATATTTACAAAGAGACTGACAAATACGCAGTAGATGTTGAGACAAAATGTAATTCAAATAATGAAAATTATGAGTGCTGTTATTGTAACAATATATTCTCGTCACAATCAACTCTGATGATACATCAAAACCAATGCACAACACAAAAACAAGTGGAAAATGAGAAAAGTATGGTGCAAGAAATAGAAAATGAGAAAAGTACTGTACAAGAACTAAATAAGGAGATTGTAAATATCATCTCTGAAGAGGAACACAACAACAACGCCGATGGAACTACATTACCTGACAAAGAGATCATTTCTAATGACTTATGTGAAGTTAGTAACAATTCTAAAGAGATATCAATTATGCGTCGAATATCAGAATCAGAAAAAGAAGTAAATTTTGAAGATGATAACCAACCTTCTTTTCTTGGTAATCTGTTATCTTCAATACAATCTGTAATTGTGGATGGAAGTGAAACTATCACAGAAAATTCTGAACGGAGCTTAGACGATTCCCTACTTAACAAGGATGTTTTAAATATAGAGCGAGAGCTTACTGAAATAAATACCAATATTTATCCGTGTAGTATATGTGGAAAGCAATTTCAAAGTTCGAAAAACTTGCAACAACACATACGCTCTTTTAGCAATACCACCGATGTTTGTCCATTATGTGAGACTGCGTTTAGTTCTAAACGTCTTCTACAATCACATATTGTTGCAGCACATGTACCACAAATCTCAAAAACTTACAATTTTCATTGTATGTTTTGTAATCAAGGTTTTGTTAAAAAATATGAACTTCGACCTCATGTATTACATCTGCACGGTCAGCAAATGTTTCGTACTTTTATGCGCGATTCTCACAACAATCCAGATAACCTTGACGGATTGTGTACCGGAGTATGTGACATATGTAATATAAAGTTTGAGACGCGTGATCGTTACGCAGAACATAGAATGTATTATTATAAAAATCATAAGTTTACATGCTCGATCTGCAGAAAAGACTTTCAAGGTATGTATATGTTTCATCATCATTACAAACTTGCACATTACTCAGAAAATAAACGTAACTCCTATAAGTATATTTGTGACATATGCAACGAGGGATTTAATCATGAGTCACATTTTCATTCCCATAAAATGCATGTTCATGTAAATAAGGAAACTTCGATTGCAATAGCAAAGAAATCCGAAAATAGGAAGCTAATTGATCATGCATTTGAAGTTCAGAAGATCTGGAATACTATGGAACAACGAAAAGGAAGTAACCATTTATCTACTACTGATGAGTACGTATGTACGATCTGCGAGATAAAGTATACGAATATTGATGATATATTAAATCACATCGTAGTATATTCCACTTCTGGTAATTTTAAATGTGATAAATGTGACAGACAATGTAAGACACGTGATGTGCTCGAGCAACATAAAAAATTAACTCACATTTGTCGCGATGTTTATAACGGATATTTATGCCATATTTGTGGTGAAATTCTGGAAACAATTACATCATTACAATGTCATGAGAAACATTTCCATTCAAATGCAAAGAGTATTGAGAATCAATCAAATACTAATAACAACAAATATAGGTGTTTATTCTGTGGTTTAACGTTCTTGTCTGCTGATATTGTTCAAAAACATATTAATGTGGATCATAATGATATACTAGCTAAACACTTTACCTTAAGGCCTGTACAGTTCACTAGTGACAATAACGTGATACAAAAGAAGTCTGTTCAGCAATTGGTTCAAGTTAATCAAACATTATCTGGAAATAATCCCTCAACTCAATCTTTAACAAAACGATCTAATAATATTGCACTTGATATGACTATACAGAATAGCAATAACACAACAATTACGAAATCATATTACAAACACCAAGTAAAACATGTATTTGAAAATAATTATAAAGAGAAATTAACACAAGAAAAACCAACTTCTGCAATCGTATCATCATCTGAGAATCATGCAATCGTATCATCATCTGAGAATCATGCAATCGTATCATCGTCTGAAGTCAATATTTCATCAACATCTGCTACTTCAACAGCTACTACATCAAGTAATGAGTCCAAAGTTGCTACATCAGTTCCTTCATCGATCGAATTATTTAATGAGCCTCAATCACGCCCTAGTATTTTTTTAAATTCGTCAAAGAATGACTGTAAAATCAATTCAATTTCATTAACAAATAACTCTGCTAATCCAGTAATAACAGTTCCTGTAACTTCAGCAACTGGAGTACTTAAGATTATACTCGCCAACAAACAAGACAAGAAAATCAAATCTGTAAAACAAGCTATCGAATCAGCAAGCCTTCTAGCAAATAGCTGTAATTATGTATGTCCTGTATGTTCGTTAGTCTATCCATCTTTAATGTTTTTCCACGCTCATTTGATATACGCACATGCAAGTTATATTCGTAATGATACATGTAGATTACAGTCAACTCAGACCTCAAGTGGTCAGCTAATCTCTGTTGATAAGTCAATTCCGGCGTTCTCTGCAATAGAATGTTTGTTATGTCCAGCCATATTTACTAACGAAACCTCTTATAAGATACATTTAAAAAATTTTCATACTCGTCGTGTGATTGCTCTTAACGAGACGATAAATAGTAATAATGCAAATAATGCCTCAATAGTAACAACAAACCAAAACAAAAAAGATACGAATCCCGAAATTATCACTATAGATGATGATGATAATAATATTGAGACTTCTATAAAAGATCCTGCAGACAAAACAACCGCTACGACAGATATAATTGATGAAAGCCTGAGTGAGAACATTGGTAAATTGCGGGTAAAGCCTTTCGCAAAGATTATTGAAAATCCATTGTCCGCAGAAACTCTTAAATAAGCTAATTTATACGTCAATTAGCACGAGTATATATATACTAACTAACTTTACTCTTCGAATTATTTAATTATTTAGTAGAACGCAAATGATACTAATTCAAGTTTGATATTTTAATAAATAGTTTGATATGTTAATGCAGATAAATAGATAATAGAAAAATGTGTTATCCTTATTGTAACTATATAATATGTGAATTTGTATATTCTTTACTTAATTGGAATAAATTATCTCTTATTTTGTATTACCTTTATCATTAGAGTGTTAAGTTATATTGTTGTTCGTTAGAGAAAGAGAAAATTCGTATTATATCAAAAAGTTATGTGAACTCTATATTCTCTCTCTCTCTCTCTCTTTCTCTCTCTCTCTCTCTCTCTCTCTTTCTCTCTCTCTCTCTCTTCCGTAAGTGTATAATAAGATTATGGATAAGTATTTATATCTACGTAGAGAATAGAAGAATAGGATATACATTAGAGTTTATAAGAAGACTTCAACATGTAACGTTTGTGTAATTAATAAAATCAATGATGTTATGAAATGTATGTACAAATATCTTGATTAACTAAGTTTTGATTGTGCAATTTTTTTATTATTTGAGCTTCTGGATGTAATTGAATACAAGAACTTTTAAATGAAAATAATCTAAAAAATGGAGAGAAACCGACGACGCTAGAACGCGCTGACGTATCAGCAATAAATTTTGAATTCAATTAAACACACAGAATGCTTGCTAGCATTTAGTATGTATCAGCTTAATTTAAAAAAGAAAATGTTATTGAAAAATATTTCAGTCAGGATTTGTGAATCTCTTGAACTTCTCCGGACAAAATGTCTTCATTCGGGACTTCCCGCAATACTCCAAATATAAACACTGACTCTTCTGAAGACACAACAAAGTTTTGTATATCATTGATACTTTTTGTAAACTTCTGTAAATTGCACAGTTAAACAATAATCATAGACAAAACACGCGTTTTCATTTCAAATTTTATTTTACGTTGTAAACATCCACATGATTAATTTCACGTCAATAGGCGGTTGCGCTAATAGCACTTGCTGAATGTAATTATGACGATGTTGTCGAACTACACAAGTATTTGCCAATCTGTTTGTTAGTGTTTAAGCAAACTGAACCAGAACCGTTAATGTGCGATGTGATTAACCGGTTAATTTTTGTTACGCAAAATAATGCGAGAAATCGAAAATTTTGTAAAATAATAAATATAATCCTATAACTCGTTTGTCTCAATTGTATCAATCGACGTTATAAAGATTAAGTAAAAGAAGGCTTGCGAAACCAATTTTAAAATAGAATAAGAGAATTTAACAAATAAAGATAAGAATATTTTCACGTTAAGATTTGTAGCGCAACGGGAACTCAAGTATGCTTCAGAACGAGACAACATGTAGCTGAAAAAAAATTCGTTTGCAAGAATAACGAGCACTAAGTGCTCAGGTAAATTCAACAGTTTGAATAGAATCACGTTCTCGTCGACGCGCGAGAACGCAGTTTCTTTCATAAAAGTAACCCAAGTACAAGAATAGTCGTGCTTGTCTTCGACTTCGCCGGAAATTAGTAGTTAGCGGAGTAGGTGTCTGCGGTTGTCAAGTAACGTATGGAAAGTTTTCTTGGTTTGCTTTCTCTCTCTCTCTCTCTCTCTTCGAGTTTCGTTAGAGATGAGATATTTCAAACGTGCGCAAGCTGATTCTCCGTACATGGTTATATTCTACTTCCCAGTCTTGTATAATCATTCTTACTTTACAATAGAGAAAAGGATTACAAAGTGATGTGTTCTGCATTATTCTTTTATATTATCACAGATCGTCTCTCTCTCTCTTTTGTAGATGTCTTTAGATATTTCGATATTAGAAACTATAAAACTGAGAAACATAAACAGGTTGAATACATAAAAAACAAAATATTATATTCTACAAATATAAGTAAATGTGGAAGAGAAAGCTCTGCAAATGGATTCAGTACATGTGTGTGTCGATAATCATTAAGGTTTGGGACGTTTTTAAAAAATGACAAAAAGGTTTGATACTTGAGAATCTTGTTCTTGGTCATAAGATAAAATTTTACAACAATACTGTTGTTAGTTTGAATGGGTTCTTAACGATATTTCAAAATTATGCATAAAATGTTCGTCATTCGATAAATCAGGAGGAAGCGTTCTATCAAAGAAATCCACTGAAGAAGGTTAAAAATAAAGCCGAAACGTTTGGTAAACAAAATTAGTAGATTTATGTATTGCAAAACACCTTGCAAATGGTTCACACTTGCCCAACTACTACCGGAAAATTTTACAAATTTTTTAAATATTTGTTTCCACGGAAAATTCCGAGAAAATTGTTGAAAACTCGGTAATTCCAGACTTTCAACATGTATTCTTATGGGACTCATATTTTAACAGAAAAAAAAGTAAGATAATGACACAATTATTTGAAAAAATTCACTGGTAGATTAAGAACTTGAAAATCACTGTGCAAAAGATGAAAGGACCTTTCCATGCAATTAAAGACAAAAATAATTGTTAAATCTCCAAAAACGGCGATTCTTAGAGTTACGAAGAAAAACACAACACGTAGGGTAAATGTGGGTATTACTGCGGACGTCCCGATTACTGCGGGATTTTAATAAAATAATGAAATCTAACATTTTATAATATTTAATCTCTTAGAAATAAATCTCATAATTTTTTAAATGTTAANTATNNATAATCAATGACAAACAAGAAAGAGCAATCGNAGTTTTAATTCATTTATGGAGTTTTGATATTCGAAAGCTTATGAGTTGTTATGAAATATCCATAATAGAAGCTGTGAACAGTGATTCAAAAACATTTATATTTTGGTAATTAATAGTAAAGTTCTTATTGTAACGTTATTTTTAGACAAAGTAATCATTACTTTGATGAAAAANTGGTATACATTTTTATTATTATCTATTTTCAAATATTATTTACTAAAACAGTATTTGGCACATGACTTTTTACTATGTGAATACATTACTGCGGTGCTTTACTGAACTGCGTAACTTAACCTGTACAATACAGTTTTCGATGAGCATGTACGTTTGTTGATCACGAAGTGAATAAGTAGGTATTTATTTGAAGAATTAAAGTGAAAGTATTTTGGTACATNTAAAAGAAAATGGGAAAAGTGCAAAAAAAAAGAAGTTAAAAAAAAACGAACAAGAGATATCAATGAATAAAAAGGCAAAGAAAAATATAAGGTTAAATTACTCAAAGGAAAACGTCGCGTTAGCTCTGCAAGAAATTCGTGAAGGAAATACAATTGCAAAAACGTCTCGCAAATATTATATTCCGGAATCGACTTTAAGAGCAAAATATACTTATTTTCACACAATATAACACTAAGTAGATTAAATTATTCGTTCGTAGTATTCTAAGTACACACAGTAATCGTGCACAGTATTTGGCACGCAGTAATCGGAACATCCACAGTATTTGGCACGCAGTAATATATACATAACCGCAGTAATTTATGCATGAGAATAGTTTCTTTATATTCCGTTTTTTAACAAAATTTGTACTTTCAGAGATCCTGTATTTTGAGAGAATATAGGTAAATATTCAAGTTAAAGAATGATATAGTATAAGTTGTCAATTTATTCGCGTAAAAGTCTTATTTTCTCTGTAAATGTTCGTCTTCGTTGAAAACCCGCAGTAATACCCACACTTACCCTAGTATCAGCTGGTCATTTACTGCGTAGCGTACTGTTTTGGTTTGATGCACTTGTGGCTCTTGGACCGTGAAGGTTAGTCCATACGTTATAGGTTAGTTCATTCACAGGTTACGTAGCGTACTGTTCAGCAAAAGCATTAGACCATATATACTTATAGACACGGCTTCAGATAACTGCCTTGAAGCAAAGATAATATCATCTACATGACATCACATGTGAGCAAAGCAAAGACCGCGTTTAGCCGAACAATTGCTGCATTGTCGTCTTCTTAACACTTGACGTTGATTTGTTGGATCTCAAAACAAGAGCCAATCACGTTCGATTGCTACAAGCAGCTTGGTCTGCTGAACGCAACAAATGATGGAAGCGTTTACTTTTAAAACAATAGACAAAAACGCATTATGTTCAGCTAATAAACATTGAAAGTAATGAAACACTTTCGTTGAAATTTTCATAGAGCCTTAAAATTTACTTGTTAATTCACGCTGGATGAAATGATAAGCGTTATTAAACTATCAGACCATCTTTGATGGATGTACAGAGTATTGTGAGACAAGCTCCAAGTGCCTCGGTAGCCTAACAGGGACGGCTCGGAGATTCCAGGTTCGACTCCTGGCTGAGGAGTTTTTTCCGAAATATTTTAAATTAGTTTGAGGGAGAGGGAATATTCGGGATCCTTTATATACGAGATGCAAATCTAGCATCCTATATGATTTGAAGAATTGAAATATCAATTCAAATAACTTACTTGTAAAAATTTACTTGTGGACACGTATATATATTCATACATATACAGAGTGTCCGACAATTAGTGTAAAATCTCCCGTAGGCAGGTAGAAGGAGTAAAACTGAGTCGAAAAGTTCTGAACCATTTTTTTCTATTACGTATAATAAAGGAGTAATTATTGAATAAATCAAGCCAATCAACGCCGACCTTTAGCCGGGCGCATGTCAGTGAGCTGCGCGGAGCGCTCACGCACACCAGGCGCGTGGTTCACTAACGTGCGTTCGGCTAAAGGTCGGCGTTGATTGGCTTGATTTATTCAATAATTACTCCTTTATTATACGTAATAGAAAAAAATGGTTCAGGACTTTTCGACTCAGTTTTACTCCTTCTACCTGACTACGGGAGATTTTACACTAATTGTCGGACACCCTGTATATATACATGCATATTTCCGCACAAATATCCTGCGATCGGCTCGTAAGATCCTATATATATATTTAATGAAACACTTACTGATGAAAAGATATAGTCGTGTACCACGCTTTTGTCGTTCTTTGCAATTTTTGACACAAGTTTACATCATAATTAATAAATATTCAACAACCATTCACAAAGATGTAAGCTCACTTATAAGCTGCTTGTAGCACATGTCTCATGCAGTATCCACTATTTTGAATTATTTTTTGCCCATATGTGACGTCACATTTTCCCCATTATCTTTGCTTTGAGACTCATAGATTTATATCTACGGGCCGTGTCTATAAGTATTTCTCTCTCTAAATCACACACTTCTATCTTTTTTTCTTTTTCTTCTTTCAACGCGCTCGTATATGTATGCCATCTGTTAGCAGGCATACGAACATGCACACAATTTGGTCGCACGACGACAATAATGACGACGACAACGTTTCCGAAACGTAATAAATTTCTCACTTCGAAACTTTATCGTCGTATATCTCCAAATCAGAAGCACAAACAAAAAAACGCAACAATAGTTTTTTTTTTTTATGTTTTGGTCTGAACCGATTGAAACTAAAACGAAGTTGATCGGTTTAGTCGTTCTTGAAATATTGCCTCTGTGAAAATCTCTCCACTTCTTAATCGCGTGAATTTTGCGTATAATAGGCACGGTGCCACATGCTGTTCGAGTTCGACTTCGTTGCGCGAAGCACCACCGTGCCTCTTAATATATGATCTAAGGCAAAAGCTGCTTTGTAGCAATTATGCGTTGTTGCCAAATGTAAATTTGACAAATGTCGATAAGATAGATATATCATCTGTTTTCCTTTTCCTCTTTGATTAACAGTCCCAAACCTCCTTAATGCATTTTGCTGTGCGATAAGACACATTGGTTTTGGAAAATAAAAAATGACGCATATCAAAGTTGGGGAAAAAAAATAACAAATGAAATAGAGAAGCAGAACAAAAAAAAAACTAGAATAAACATGGTATAAAAAAAGAATTTGAAAAAGAAGAAACGTAAAAAATGACAGCACACATCAATTGCGTGTTTAATTAGAAAGTACGAAATTCTGAGAGAATCGTCGTTTCTGCAACAACTAGATTTTCCGCGAACTTTTGGTTCTTCTTATCTCCTAACATCCATCTTGCCTGTGCGTCTCTTTATCAGACCACCTCGAAGCACAACATCTTCTAAGCGAACCAACCGGAAGACCTAAGGACATTAATAATCTCACACTAAGCTGTCTGAAAAGGGTTGCGAGGTACAACTGGGATGAGACGGGAAGAGGTGGACGATGAGGATAAGCATAAAG